GAGTGGTTTGCGGAAAATTGTGTCTCTACTCAGGCGCTGCTGGCTATTCCAATGTTGGAAAATCCATGGTTTGGTGAACTATATATTGAAAATGGCTCGCTATTCCAATTTTGGAAAATCCATGGTTTGGTGAACAATAGATTGAAAATGGCTCGCTATTCCAATGTTGGAAAATCCATGGTTTGGTGAACAATAGAGGTAACATGGCTTTAAACTTTAGTAACCGCCCCACGAGGGAAAAAATCAGACGTAGTTTTGTTTTGTTTTTGTTATTGTTTTTTTAAAAACAAGTTACAGAACGCCTTAACCTCATGTCCCAGTGCCACCCAGAGAGATGTATTTAACCTAGATCTAAATGCCCAGTTCACTCTGCACAAGGTTTTGTCAAATCTCCATTTGATGTGGTTTAATTCAGTCGAGGGACGCTAGATTTTCCTTCATGGAGGGACAATTTAAAAAAAACCCGGACCATTTTGGGACAAATAATTTGATCTAATCCTCCAAAATTTGATTATATGCATGGTTTTGTAGGTCAACATCGGGTGGCCACTGCATGAGTTCCGTGACGTTGCGGTATCAAATCTTACTATTGTTTGTACACTTAAATGTGATAGGCCATAATTGAATTCCAGACCAAATTGGATGAACACTTGTATTGTAGTCTTATATTACGACCGTATTCTATTGCAAGTACCATAAAACTCTCACTAAAACTAAAAGCACTTTAGTCTGAGTTCACTTAGATAATGAAGCAAAGCAGAGGTCAATTTTATATTTTTTTTAAAAAGTGTGCACTTGTCAGCGCCTTTGCCTAACCAGGCTGGATCCGACCTGGTCATGAAATTTCACCAACCAATGGGCATTCATCGTTCTAAACATGTTGCTGACGTGATGCAATTATCTGTCATTTCGTGGCAGAGTCATTTTTCACGAGGTGTTGTCCAGCTGAAAAGAGAGGGTCAGAGAGAGTGCCGTGTTCAGCTGAAAAGAGAGGGTCAGAGAGTGTGCCGTGTCCACTCCATAAACCTATTGTCGCCCAGACAATCAGTGCGATTTATGGTACCGTATATTATACTATAATATTATGAAGTTTTGGTGGTCAGGGCGTCTTTGAGGGAAGAGGTCACACACAAGGGCTAGGAGGAAACTTGGTGATTATACATATTGTGTCCAGCGGTATTTCTCTGTCTGTCTGCCTATCTGTCTGTCTGTTTCTCTTTATGTGTGCGCGCGCTCGTATTTGTGTGTGTGTGTGTGTGTGTGTGTGTGTGTGTGTGTGTGTGTGTGTGTGTGTGTGTGTGCCCGCATACATGTGTGAGTCTGTATGCTATTGTGAATATAAGTTTCTATGTGCGAGTATGTCTATGTCTGACTGTCATGGCAATCATTTTCAAGGCACTCTGAGATGATCAAGACGATAACTTTGTGTACCCGCCATTTACTCCTCCCCAGCCGTATCCGCGCGATCCAGGAGTCAAGAACCAAACGCTCGGAGCTTGAGAACAAGAAGTCTATCAAGATACAGGCATGGTGGAGAGGCACCATGGTACGGAGGAAACTCGGTCCATTCAAGCCGAAGAAGGAAAAGAAAGAAAAGAAAAGTGGAAAGAAGAAAAAATAAAAATGCTGAATAATAGTCGTCTGTGGTTGACGTAGGCGCGTTATGAGATACGTCCTCGAGTAAAATAATTTAACGAAGCAGGACTGCATAGAATCATTTAGATTTGATAACATTAATAGTGTATCTTGATTTTATTTCCTTTTGGGTATAGCTAATAAGAAGCATGGTGGTGCTGTTTTTTAATTTCTAAATGAATTTTGAATAAACGTATCTGGCGTGTCGGCGTTTTGGATATCGTGTTCCGTGTCATGTAGGGTAAGCTAACTCATTGAGTCCCACGAACGAATACCAATTTCTTCGATATTTCAAAGATCTGTGAGTTTTTTCGTTGTTTTGTTTTGTTGTTGATTTGTTGTTGTTGTTTTTGGTTGTTTGTTTGTTTGTTTTTGGGGGGTTTTTGTTGTTGTTTTTGTTGTTGTTGTTGTTGGTTTTTTTTTTGGGGGGGGGGTTGTTTTATTTAAATATCGTTTATAATATAATGTCTTCAAACATACCATTCGAGGTTTGGGACTGTTTCCGTCATATTTTAATTTTTTTAAAAACATGCATTTGTGCTTTTTGTCTGTAGTAATAAATTTACTTTCTAAAAATGTGGAGGAGTGTGAGTAACTTGTTAGGCTACCGCACTCGTAATCGTGAGGTTGCGGGTTCGGGGGTTCGAGCCGCGGGCCCGACGCTGTGTTCTTGGTAAAAGCACTGTACGCGAATTTTGCTCACTTCACCCAGGTGAGAATGGGTACACGGCCATAGACCGCGAAAGATCGTGTTAGTATGTTAGAGTTTTAGCACCTCTAAAGGCTGCTTGAACTGCATGCTTCCCAGGAAGTTGAGGTTGTTTAAGAATTATGCTCTCGGGTCTGCTGGGGTAATAGTATAGATTGTGAAGCGCATAGAGCTTGCTGTTGAGCGGAGATTTGCGCCATGCAATTGCTATCTATGATCAAATTTAAAAAATACATACGTGTATTAATTGTTGTTATTTTCCATTTTCCTTTCAGTATGCTACTTTCCACATTTATTTGTTCCCCTTAGAATTACCATTACCTCGCTTTCAAACTGCTATTTCTGAAAAGATTCTTTACATTCGAAAGATTGGATATGTAAAATGGAAATTGTGAAATAAAACGTCTACAGCAACATTTCCAACGACTCCTTTTTTTTCTTTTTTTTTTTTTTTTTTTGCTACTTGATACATGTATGTCAACGCTGATTGTTGTTCTTCGTCAACTGCACGGCAAGTTTAACAGCTTCTTGTTGTTGTCGTCGTCAGTGTTGCTGTTGTTGAAGTTGTTGTTCCTCATTCTCCCTCACTGTTTCTTTTTCTGTCTGTCTGTCTGTCTATCTGTCTGCCTGTCTGTCTGCCTGTCTGTCTGTCTGTCTGTCTGTCTGTCTGTCTGTCTGTCTGTCTGTCTGTCTGTCCCCCATCTCTCTCTCTCTCTCTCTCTCTCTCTCTCTCTCTCTCTCTCTCTCTCTTTCGTTCTCTGGCCCTCTCTCTGGCTCTCTCTCTCTCTCTGGCTCTCTGTACTGCTGTCTGCTGAAGAGCAGTAAGGCGCCTTCCCTTCGCTCTCAGGAGACCCGAGCTTGATCTCTGAGTGGAGATTTATTTCTTCTTTTCTGTCGATCTTTCAGCTGAGATGCTGTATCCTTCTCGGGCGAGGCCGGCTCTGACTCTGACAGGTAAGGTCGAAGCCCCACTCCTAAATGATCTAAATTGAGTTTGTGGGGTGTAAAAAACACCATGTCCGTCTGCCTGTCTGTCTGTCTGTCAGTCTGTCTGTCTGTCTGTCTGTCTGTCTGTCTGTCTGTCTCTTTCTCTCTCTCTCTCTCTCTCTCTCTCTCTCTCTCTCTCTCTCTCTCTCTCTCTCACACACACACACACACACACACACACACACACACACACACACACACACACACACACAAACACACACACACACACACACTTACACACACACACACAAACACACACACACACACACACATACACACACACACACACACACACACACACACACACTGACTTATGTTTCTCAGGCGTCCTGTTAGGTCATAATTTGTTATCATGCTGGACTCTGAGGTGAATTATTCTGGTTCAATTCTCAACAAAACGTTTAGGTATTCATGTTCTTTTAGAATAATTATCTAATAGTCCCTGCCCCCTACCCTCACCCCATCCCACCCTTTCCGAACCAGGTGTGTGTGTGTGTGTGTGTGTGTGTGTGTGTGTGTGTGTGTGTGTGTGTGTGTGTGTGTGTGTGTGAGAGAGAGAGAGAGAGAGAGAGAGAGAGAGAGATCGAGAGAGAGAGAGAGAGAGGGGGGAGAGAGGGGGGGGGGGGAGATATGTACCGTGAGTTTGTGTGTGTGTGTTATATATTATATAAACAGACGCAGAGCATTTAACTTGGAGTTGGTGAAGAGCTTAAACAGCCCCTCTCCATAATGATTCAAACGGCATATCATAAGCTGTTTGTGTTAATGTTAAATGATCTTTTGTCATCTGTTTTATATCAAATGTAAAAGCACACATGAAATGCATTGAGTTGAGAAGTTTCAAAGCCACATGGTGAAAAAAAATTAATGTACGAATGCAAAAAATAATTAATTTCATGTTTTTGTTCTACTTGTAAATGTACAAAGCATTATTATGCTAGGTCTCTAATGTATATTATTAATAATTATGCTACAACAACACTAAATTGCACCCTTTTCCCTCTCGAATTTTGATGGATTATAACATTGAATTGTAATGACTCAGGCTCCTTAAAAATTATGAAATCTATCTAAAACATAGATTTTAGAAATAATATTGAGAGTTTTGGAAGTGGGTTGGCTATATTGTAGGCTAGGCTCATTCATTATTATTTATTATTTATACTGAATTGTAAAAGAAAAGATAATGGCGAACATGGTACAGTACGAATCTACGACGCTGCTCTACTGCTCTCACTTCCTACTGACTCTCGACTACTTCCTGTGCAGAAACATTACGTACGTACTTCCTTTTTCTATTAGGGAGCCTGTGGACACGGTGGGTGTTTGATATTGAGCTGTTAAATCTGAACTAATCTGCCCCAAAATGTTTGACATCTGTTCTACTAGATTGCAGTTATATACTGTAATTTGTTAAGCATTTAAAGAAGCTATTATTGTTATCCCCAGAGCTGGTGAATTTTACTTAGACGTGTTGTAAAATGTATTGGCAAATAGATTCTAGATCTAGATCTAGGCGGCAAGCAAACTAACCCTGACCGTAGTGACGCCTGGTAACGGATTACCAAATCTTTTAATTCACTGATTTTCTTTTTCTCAAGCACCCTTTTCTTTCCTTGTTTCAAATTGTCAACCGACGGCTGGCGTTTCGTTAGAGTTAGGCGTTGTAATGATATGATATAGATTATAGATCTAGAGTATATATCATATCTAGATTCTAGATCTAGAAATCTACATCTAGATAGATCTAAATCTAGTCACACTGTCTGCTGGGTAATCGGCCCACGTAGGTAGGCTAACCAATTTTGGCCCTCCTGAGTCTTTCTTTTGGCAGCCCAACTGACTAAGCCACATTCTTCTTCCTTCAGAAGAGGGGAAGATTGAAGAATACCAGACCACTCGTACATTTTTGCGCGAGAAAGTGGGGCGGGTGGAGGAGGGGGTTCAGGGGGGTCTGCCCCCCTGACAAAATTTTAATGAATATAGATCTATCTACCGGTCCGAGATTCTCCATTGAGAGATATTAAAAACAGGGAAATTATGAATTCCTAAGGTTGAGACATAGAATCTAGGCAAAGTCAGTCCGCTGGTCCGGTATTACTTCAATCTTACCCAGAAGAGTGCATTTCTCATAATATGATGCCAGATTTCTTTCCAGTTGATAGCTAAAACTATTTTCAAAGTCATCTGGGTAATCCGCCCAGGGTCTGGGCTAAACCCGCCCACACTATCCAGAGGGAGGAAGGACTTTCGTAATTAAGCAACCACCCCATCAATCAAACATCAAACACAATGAAGAGGCCAAACCCTACCCCTAACCCTCAATTCTGCTGTCTCATAGGTCGCTCGTTACACGGAAGTCCTCCACTCTACCAGTCCAAAAGCCAGTTGTACTACCTGGTCATGACAAAGTTACGGCAGTTTACGCATTTTTAGGCACTCTTGCACAATTGGGGGTTCCGTTAAGAGATACTTGTTTTGACCCTATCAACGATTACTTCTGGTTCTGAATGATTACTTTTTGAAGCATGTACCGATAGGCCTGTGGAGAGATATCCAATCAAACCTAGAATCTAGAGTGGTGTCCCCGGTACGCGTGCACTTCGCGATCGTTGAACGTATTTTCCGCCATTTCCGGCTTTGTACTTTCGTTTTTAGCTATTCCATTCAAGAAACTATTGACCTATAAAATGGTCTTGCTCATAGTCGCCAGATTTCTTAAACGTTGTGTGCCGAACAGTTTTTCCAACCTAGGGTGTTGTCTTCACTGAGCGTGCATTTCTTCTCAGTGCGTGCATGGGATTCTTCACTGTGCGTGCACCCATATATACACGTTGAAAGCCAAAAGAAGAGGAATCTGATAACATTACTGCATTAAATGACCACACAGGAAGATAACAAGTCACTTTAGAAGCAAAGTAAGGCAATTTTAATTAGAATCTAAACTAATTTAATTTAGGGGGTATAAATAGTTCAAATACATAGTGAAAAAAAATCAAACAGAATTTTTCACAACTAAAATCCACATTTTCCTACTCTTCATCACTCATTCCTCTGATCTTTCCATCTTTCACACAGTCCACATGCCACCATCCATGACATTCTTCAAACTGCAACCAAATAATCTCTAAAATTGAGTCTACTTTTTTTCTTAGTATTCTACTATATATTTCATTGTGCACGCGCAGAGAAAACTCGAGTTTTTTCAGTCTTCACAACGCGTGCACCCCCCCCCCCGATCCCGAAACCCGCAATACAACTTGGCATAGAACTCGATAAAAGGTCACGTGAAACACTCAAGGAAGGAGTAGGCACATTTTTTAAGCTAGGGGATTTCTAATTTGAACCAATCAGAGGCAAATAGGTCATAAAAACTAGTTCACAGGTCAGCGTTGAATGTCAACTTGCCACAGCTGATAAAAACACTCTCGATGATCCCTTGTCGGCAAACGAGTGATGGAAGTAAACAAAAATGGCTGCTGCACACACTGACGCATTCAATCAAACGCAAAAACGCAATTTGAGGCTAAAAACAAAGGAAAACAAAAGTGCACGCACCGAGAAGGCGCACGCGCAGGGGCTACACCACTCTAGATCTAATTGTAAAACATCAAATTATCATTTATGGTCAATTTTTGATTTTCAGTGACCTGTCACCATGGGGGCCTACAAGTACATGCAAGAGATCTACAGGAAGAAGCAGAGTGACATCATGCGCTTCCTCATCAGAGTCCGCTGCTGGCAGTTCAGACAGTTGTCTGCCATTCACAGGGCATCTAGACCCATGCGTCCTGACAAGGCTCGTAGACTTGGATACAGGGCAAAGCAGGGTAAATAATTTTGCTCCTTCTGATAGTACTGTTGTGAAATTTTGCACCGTACCCACTCATGACTCATGCCTATTTTTATGTTTCAGATTCAGGTCTTATGCTGCAGTAGGTTATATATGAGTTGAAACTGTTTCTGGGCCTTCTAAGATTTTTTCCTTGCTAGTTTATGTAATAGTAATTGATCCTAGTTGTTTGTTGCACCGTCAGATAAATAAGGGGGGGAGGGGTATGTGTACTGTTCAGATAATTTCGCTCATCTTAGTGTACAGGCAGCTTGGGCATCGAAGCAACGAGTAGGCGTTCATGACGCGTCTTTTTATGACAGGTTTTATTTACAAAAGGAGTGTGGGCGGCGCATTCGGGGATCCTTTTTTTTTCGGTTGTCGGGACTTTCCAAAACCGTGCTGGCGGTCCGGCAGCAGTATGCCTTTCGGTAGACTAATATCGGCAATAAAGCGATCCGCGGATTCGGTTAGATCAAAGCCTGGCCTATCATATACCGAATGTAAGGCGGGGGGGGGGGGTCATGAGCAGTAGTTCCAAATTTATTTTGCATTTTTTAAACTGATGTTGAAGGGGGGGGTGCAAAAATTTAAGGAAGTCTTATCGGATTGGCTGTGATCCCTGTGCGTTTTTCAACAAGGATACATTTTTAAAATGTGTCCCTGGCTGCACTAACAATTCAGGCATCTGTCAAATTGCTGCTAGATCTAGGTTTAGTGTATAGTTTGTTAGCTCATTTTAATTATGTCATGCAAAATAGACACGGAAACATTGATTCATGCCGTTGAAAAGGGAAAATGCCTTTATGGCGGGGTAGCAATGCTAATCGCCCACTGCGCCTTGGGTCGGAAATCGGTCTCCGCGCGAGGGGTAATTTTTGGGCTGCTCGGAATCAGAAGTGACTCTTTTCTAAGTAGTTACAGGAAAACTCGCTGATGAAAATAAATTAAAATCGGCAACCAATCAGAGGAAAGGTTAAACTAACGGCATGCCAGCGTACAATCCCGAACGATTTCTAGAACCGGAGATATTGCTATGTTTGTGCAAATTTCCTTTGCGGTTTGAAAACTAAGCGGAGCTGCGGGTTGATGGCCGACCACACAGGCGCCTCGCGTCTTATTTATTTAGCAATGCCAATCGGGCATTCCCGCGAGGCGAAAATTTGGTCCCCGTTTACGGGCGGTTTTGTGGACCCGGCCGAAGCGTAGGTGACTAACTGTCAACCTCGGTCTGCTCTATTTCCGAACCAATCCGAATGAACTCTGCAACCAATCAGAAAATAGGGCAAACTAATATGTGGACGTTGAAGTTCGTACACATAAATTAACCTATACTTTTGGTGTCGGGAACACCGAAATCTATAAGGAGCTTGAATTTCAACGCCGAGATGGTAATAGATCTATCTATCCTCTATAGTGTGCTCAAATTTGAACGTTCTGTGTCAAGTAGTTGTTTAGACCCGATCATAAATGCACAACTACCCCCCTATCCAAAGCGGCTTCGCAGGGAGACCGGCCATTTTCCCCTCACTCTCGTGGCAAATGTATGTGACCTACAAATCCCCGCATGACTATTCGGGGCCCGTTCATTGGTCACTTGAAATAGGGCGGGCGCACGCATCCGGTTGTTTTTCTCTCTATTCCCCTGTAACATCGCAATGTGGGGTATTCGGAGGCGAGGTTATCTCGTCTCGGGGTGTTCGCGTCTCAACGGGGGAAAAGAATGTTTAATTGTACGGCATGCTAGATTGAATTAACTTATCTTTTACGGTTGGCATGGTCTAAAGTCATCAAAAGCTTTACAATTATTTAGTCACGCTGCCGACATATTCTTAAAGATCCCATGTTGTGATACGATGCTATGAATAAAATGGACTCATCCTGACACCCCTTTTCCGCAAAATCGTAATATGTACACCACAATTTTAATTATAACAAAATAACTACGAAATTGGCAGTAAATCTGACTGCAGAAATGATATCTACACTCAAAAACACATCGGGTAGCCAAGTTTCTCTCGAACACTCCGATTAGTTACCGAGATATTGTCTATCAAACATGTCCAACATACTTCAATGAATGACAAAACTTTCAAAAACATTTCTCTGGTTTCCTGCGGGTTTGTCACTAGTCACTACTATCACTGTCTTTCTGGCATCTTTGAGGCAGCACAGTCCTTGTCGCGACTATCGTCATCAATTTCAGACTCTGAGACGGAGTCCACAACTGTTGTTTTCTTTGCCTTGGTTCTGGTGGGAACAGAAGGCCTTCCTTTTCCTTTTCCCTTTTTCCTTTTCTTCTTCTCCTCCTCCTCTGATATTCTTTGAATGAATGTACTCAAAACTGGTCAAACTTTCGCCATACTGGCGTTTAACAGTTTTCCAGTTGGTTTTTTCTCTCTTGGCTTGTAACATAGGGGAAATTTTTTAAATAAAAAAGTAAAAAGTCCTTTATGCTGGGTCTGGTTGCTGGTTCCACTGGGGTCACTGGCCTCAACGGTGTAGGTGTTGATGAGGTTGATGGCAACCCATTGTACCAGACTGCACAGCTGCGATTGCATTCTGCATTGCCTCCTTGCTGTATGGCGCTCTCTTCTTTACATAATTCCTCAACATTCTGTTTAAAAAAATAGCCAAAATTGTTATAAATTTATGCTCAACATTATCTGGGGGTAAATCCACCCACCAGGTAGGTGGAATTGCCCCAATGTAATAATGAAGTTTAATGGCCAACATTTTACATGTAGGTTGCTATGAATAAACTAATAGGAGGTAAAATAGCTAAGAGAAGATCATAACTTACAATCAATGCGAAGAAAATATGGTTGTGAAAATCCACCCACCAAGTGGGTAGATGGTGGATTTACCCCAACTCTACTATGTAGATCCATGACCATAACAGAAGAATTTTCTTTTATAATGGCTTTATTGGTGCTTAAAATGAAGACAAATAAACACTTCATTGATTTTAAAAGATACTTTAGACTTTCATCCACCATAAATACACACGGTCTAGCATCAAAAAGTACGTTAGGTCTACTTTGCTGATGCTTGAGGATGCTCTTTGAGAAGGCTGCTGTTCAACATCCACAGGTTCAAAAGTAGATGAAATAGGAAAAGGAAGTCCAGGGGATGTAACTCAATAATCATGAGTGGCAAAACTCTCCTCAAATGACTTGCAGAGTTTTGTCCCTTAAAATTGTCCAAAGTGGGTGGAATTGCCCCGGTTCACCCAAGGAAAATTATTTAAATTTTCATTGGCATTGCTACTTTATTGCTGTAAAATGTCAGATCTCTACATTTAGTACATTTTACGTACCAACTTAAAATTACCACCCATCCTAGAGCTGGAAACTAGATCACGCATTTGAAACGCGAGGTGCCGGCATGCAAGAGGCGCGTGATCGCTGGGCGGCATGTGATTGGCTGCCTATAACTAAATACGTCACCGATGACTTCATCGCGGGTTTTCCCGATAGCGCTTTACTGGGTTTTACAAGGAGGGATCGCGTCGCAATAAAGACATCGAAAAAGTGATAGCAGAGCTAGATTCTGCACTAAAAATAACATGAAGATGCCAAGTTTCATTCATATGCTCCAGTTCATTACTGACTTATGAACAGTTTTTCCTCAAAATACATCAAGACATGTCCCACATTTTGCATAGCTGCCACTTTCCCGCTAAATAGCGGAAACTCCGCTTAATCTAGCTTTTCCCGCTACTTTCCTCCTTCCTCCGATGGACCGCTCTCGTTCGCAAATTGCGATACTTTTTTTACACGCGGAAAACACCGAACCGGGAGAGAGAGGAAAACGCAGCTTGTGCATGACGCATGTCTGCCCGTAGCTTTCTACTTCCGTTCTTCTAGGCCTAGCACTAGTTTCACTTTGTTTATTGTGGAGCAACGAAGTGTCGATCGGGCATCGGGACGTTAGCGCGCCGAGTTGTCATTGAAAACGGCGGAAATTCGAGAGAAATTGATGCAGAATGCAAAAACAAGAAAAGGAGCTGGAATGAGAAGCAGCCGGTGTGCGACTTGAAAAGTTCATTAGAAAATTGAACAAGCCGCTTGCTGCACTTTGCGTTTGGTGTGATAAAGAAATCGCGGCACTCTTGTACAATTGTGGTCCCGTTTGTTTACATGACGGCTATTGGGGCTGTTGAAGTGAATCTAGATCTAGATAATCTATCTCTAGATATAATCTATATTTTCACATGTTTAGATATCTAGATCTAGATTAGATAGCCTAGGCTATAATTTTAATTCAATTTAGATCTACACACTACAGGGGCACTACCAAGTTAAGTGCGAACGGGACCGCAATTGTACAGGAGTGCTCATTACTGCGGCAAAGGTGTTGCCTCCTTGATCCAATACTGCGCGTGCTCTACATCGATGTACAAGTTTAAAGTGAAAGGAATCTTTTTATAAGACACCAGCTGGCAACAAACACTGGATTTTTAGTCACCAATTCCAAACTGTGTCAAATTGACTCAAATGCTTGTTTGTCAACTTACTGCCTTCTGTTGTTGTTGTTTTTTTTTGGGGGGGTGGGGGGGGGTTCAAATACATTTTAATTCAGTTGCCTAAGGTTAACAAATTTGACAGTTTTCCCTTCCAAAACCATAGGCTAGGTTTTCCAGTATATATTGCCTCTGGATCTCAATGGTTTTACTCTGGCCTTCGGAGAGCGCGCATACGCTTTCGCATGAATTTCCTCCGTTTTTGAAATTCCTGAGTGGCAGCTATGATTTTGGCGATATTTTTCTTTTATATATGGATCAAAATTTAATGTTTCATTATCAGTGCTACAGGGGGGGGGGGGGGGGGGGTGAGAACTACAGCCACAGAAATTTAATAATTATTGTTAAATTTAGTATTTCATCTTTTGATTTTTCTATATATCGACGCCGGGCATGTTGCTGTTTATGCAACCATGTTAACATCAACCATGGGAAAAAAACTGCGTCCTCTGCTCTAGATCTACCAATGACGTTTTAATGACTCAAAGACGCTTCCACTCCAGTCGCACCAGGCATATTGAGAGCGTCGCAATCAAATTATCTTAACCCTTTCGCAGTTAGCAGGCTTGGCCAGCTGTGGCCCCCCCATCCTTAAGACAAGGGCAATAACTCCACGAAAATTGAAGGGGGTACCTTACTAAAAAAAATTGTATAAAATCACAAACGCAACCAAAAATGATGAGAATAGTATTTTCTGAAAGGAAAATGAATGAGCTAAATTACTAGTACAAAATTATAAGTGGATTAGAAGAGTATGAAATGATATGAGAGGTCTTTCTGAGATGCGTGTCTTGGATTCCGAGTCTAAATCTCGTATACATTTCTTCAACTCACGAAGTTTCTGCTACTGACAAAGAGGTAATCCACACAAGAAATACAACACATTCACAGAGATTGAAGCCTCTGGTGGAAACTTGAAAGCACCTAAGAGACTTTTCTTTGAGTGTTTTTATTTTGTTTCTGCTGTACTCATATCAGGCAGCTTTGTGCCCATGCATCCTAGAGACATGATGGCGTGTTTACAACTAAATCCTCCGACTTTTGTTCCCGCTCAAAAAGTGGCTGTTTGTGCTGGCGAAACAAGAAAAACATGATAGTAAACCGGAACTCTTCCTCTATAAAGATCGTTAAGTGAAACTTCTGATGATAGTAAAAGTAGAAGCCTCCCGCGGCAACGAAACAAACACCCCCGTGGCGGGCGCTATAGGGATAAGCAGGGATCACCGGCGCTGTAAGTGCGAAACGGTTAAAGATGTGCCGGAAAATCCAGCGAGGCCCTCTCTACCCTTAGGTTTGGATCTTATAAGAATTAATTCTAGTGCTCTGTGGACCTTATGGTTCTGGGGAAGGCCTGATTGTACTGCAATTTCTGTACATGATGAGATTTTATCACGATGGTCTTCTGAAAATATTCATGAAGATATCATAATTGTCTCTGATACACAGTATAGTTTTTCTTCACAGCATACCAATACGTCATCTCTTCACTTGTCCCTTACAATCTATAATGCCAATATGAAGTTTATTTTTTTAAATCCTGTATTTTGTATTTGTAGACTTTTATTTGCCCTCTCCCATTCCGCTCTTGCACCACAAAAATGACAGTAAAAATTGGAAAATGCGGTTGTCTTCTATGGTGAACATGTCTTGCTATTTTGGTTCCTGTGAATTAAATTAATATCTTATCTTTCAGGTTACGTTATCTACCGTGTCCGCATCAAGCGTGGAGGTCGCAAGCGCCCTGTCCCTAAGGGTTGCACCTATGGTAAACCCAAGACTCATGGTGTGAACCAGCTGAAGTTCCAGCGCTCCCACAGAAATGTTGCAGAGGTAAATATATTATAGTCCCATTCACAGCTTCTGAAAAAACATGGAATGAAGTTTGTAATCAATAAATCAACTTTGGCTGATCATTGGGAGGTGTCAAATAGATGTGTTCACAGTAATATTATATTTCCACTGAAGTAAATTCGTATATATTTTTTCATTGGCCCATAATGCCGTTTGAATTTTGAAGTTATGATCAAAAACGTTCCCCTGTGTTTACAATATGTAGCAATGGTGTTGTTTGCTGAAAAAATCTCTAGCTAATACATGTGTTTCTGAATTACAAAATTTATGATCTCTTTCTGTTCGATTCGTTAAAATACAGACGCCTGTGTCATCTCGGTTGTTTACCAAAATGTTGTGTTGCTGTGTAGAGCCTAGCATACGGCAACTTTATTCCATAGACCAGCGCACAATTCAATACGCAGAGTCAAGACTAGCTTATTACTGTAATAATGATCAGTTGCCGAGGGGGGGGAAAGACTATGACGCGTTTGTATGTGCAACGTTCAATGCCCGGACCGCTAAAGTGACTAATGGTTCACGATGCAGGTGCAATGAATGGTTTCAGGGAATAGATAAAGTTCGTTGTGGGTGAAAAATTAGCAACGCCACGTCCACGGGGGCTTTTCACTTTGGAGGGAAGCTCGCTGATTTAAGTGTTCGTTGAATCCGGGTTACTTTTATTGGTTATAAAGAACAAAAAGAACGGGGAATCTATCATCTCATTGAATCCGAGTTTCACTGTACGTTGTGTTTTACTATCGTATCCATACAACGTGGGGAACTCGATGCCCCCATTTTCCAAAAAGGAATTTTACTTGTTAATCCGATCTGTACGCTTTGCATAGCGATCTGTCAAAATGATTTTTGGAGAAAAACTGAGTTTCAAAAAGATCTTTGCCCTGGAAGTATTCTAAAATTTGAAGAATAAATGAACAAAATGACCCCAGGTGTGCGGATAGGGTTAAACTGTCAGCTGTGTCCTCAGATTGACTTGAACCTTTATTAGCTTCAAATGCAATCAGGCCATGGTACTTTTTGTGAAATTAGTCTTGGTATTAACTGTTGATGGTATTTTTTTATATGTGTGGTATTAATTGTTGTGTGTACATGATGAGTCTTTATCACGATGGTCTTCTGAAAATTGCCTGAAGACATCATACACAACTCTGATACGTAACTCAGTTTCTATCCTTTATAGCTTTTTGCTCCTTTCCTGTTGTTGAACGTATAGGCCCTAAATTCTGTTTTGTTGCTGAAGGTTTTGTGTGGGGATGCCTGTTTGTTTTTCTGTCAAATGTTACAAGTGTTAATTTATTGTGGTCAACATCATTTGATTGTTTCAAGTCTTAATCACAAAATGGGCGGGGTGCTTTGGTGTAGTTATCTTTTCCTACCTCCGCAAATGTTGATGGCATTGTGGTGAAAATGCCAGTCTGGCGTGTGATGCTGAAATTCAAATTCAAGAACTTTTTTGTTTTGGGTTTTAACTGATTCAAATTCACTAACACTTTCTGCTTCTTTGTGGAATATTATTTTGGGGGGTTGGATGGTTAGACAGTTTTGTTTTACTAAAAATTTATAGTGTGGTTTTACATATCACCACTACGTGGGTGGTTGGCCGGTGCTCTGGTGTGGTTTGCTTTTTTTTTTTTCCTGTCAAACACATCGTCCTGATCTCCCTTCCTTCTATTTTGTGTTTTATTACTCTCTTGTAACACCTCTATTCTTCGGCACTTATGGGACCTTATGGTGTTGCAAGTGTCGTAAAACTCTTCCTACAACTATTATCACCACTATCGTACTTGATAAATTGTCTTCCTCTGGTATGTGTATATGATGAGTCTTTATCACGATGGTCTTCTGAAAATTGCCTGAAGACATCATACACAACTCTGATACGTAACTCAGTTTCTATCCTTTATGGCTTTTTGCTCCTTTCCTGTTGTTGAACGTATAGGCCCTAAATTCTGTTTTGTTGCTGAAAGTTTTGTGTGGGGATGCCTGTTTGTTTTTCTGTCAAATGTTACAAGTATTAATTTATTGTGGTCAACATCATTTGATTGTTTCAAGTCTTAATCACAAAATGGGCGGGGTGCTTCGGTTAGACAGTTTTGTTTTACTAGAAATTTATAGTGTGGTTTTACATATCACCACTACGTGGGTGATTGGCCGGTGCTCTGGTGTGGTTTGCTCTTTTTTTTTTCCTGTCAAACACATCGTCCTGATCTCCCCTCCTATTTTGTGTTTTATTACTCTCTTGTAACACCTCTATTCTTCGGCACTTATAGGACCTTATGGTGTTGCAAGTGTCGTAAAACTCTTCCTACAACTATTATCACCACTATCGTACTTGATAAATTGTCTTCCTCTGGTATGTGTATATGATGAGTCTTTATCACGATGGTCTTCTGAAATGTAACTGAGGACATCATACTTTACTCTGATACACTGCATTCCATACTAAATTGTAGTGGACTTTGTTTAAAAGTAAAACCCACAGATTTATGTTTATATAATTGTTTCTCTTTGGGGGGGGGGGGGTCTTTTGGCAGCTCCATTGCTTCAACACTTTAGTTACAATTACTTTCCTTTTGATGGGGGATCTCAGCTTATGTTTTACCTGGTAAGTGCTTCCCCCTGTGATCTTATGCTCCCCTTTCCCCAATTTTGTACTAGATATGCTTCTTCTAAATCCTAATTTTTTTTCTCCCCTCAGGAACGTGTGGGAAGAAAGTGTGGTGCCCTGCGTGTCCTCAACTCCTACTGGGTAGCCCAAGACTCTACCTACAAGTTCTTTGAAATCATCCTTGTTGATCCCTTCCATAAGACCATCCGCCGTGATCCAGCCATTCAATGGATCTGCAGATCTGTGCACAAGCACCGTGAATTGCGTGGCCTCACCTCTGCTGGCAAGTCCTCTCGCGGTTTGGGTAAAGGACACAAGTTCAACAAGACTACTGGAGGCTCAAGACGCAAGAACTGGAAGAAAAACAATGCTGTTTCTCTTCGCAGAAAGAGATAAACTGTTTTTGTTTTTTTATTTTTTATTTATTTGTCTTGGAGACAAGTGCAAATAAATTTTAAAATTTAGAATATGCATTTGTTCTTTGGTGTTTCAGCTCTTTGTGGTTGCTTTTGTGTTAAGCTTGTGTTGTTTTTAAGAGGATGGTTGGTGTGTGGTGTGGTTTGCTCCTTCTTTTTGTGTTACCAACACCTCTAATCATGGCCTTAAGGCTTGTGTTGCAAGTAGGGTAGAACTCTAGTTACTCAAGTCTATCCTTACCTCTCCTACTGGCATCTGTGGTGTGGTGGTTAGGTACTCCCCTGTCCAATGGAGGTACAAAATATAAACACACAAATCTGTGTGTGTTACTTCATGTTTGATTCCAGAGTAGGGAGACCATTTTTGACTGTCTCTGCCTTCCTGCTAGGATGTTGTATGGATGCATCCCTTTTCACTCAGGTTGGCCATGACAGGCAGAGTCGGAAGCCTGCCTCCTAACTGAACTTGATCTTAAAAATGTCGATGGAAACACCCATATTATACATTATGTGTAAAAATGTTTTCCTGTTCCTTTTGTGTGGCAGTTACTCTCTTGTAACACCTGCTCTTCAGCACTTAAATATTATAGTGGAGTCCACTTATAACGAGTCCGGAAAAAACGAGAAGTCTGTTCTAAAGGCACTATTCTAAATCCCCGTTTTTTCCTCCTCTTTACCTTTGTAAACAAAATACTGCTATAGCACTATCAGACACACTTGCGAGTCGGTTATAGTGGAATGTTGCTGCTGCTGTGCACACATGGCATAGGCCAATTATACATAATGCTAGACCTCGCCAGTTGAGAAACTTGTTGCTGATCTTGCGAAACAAAGAATAGGAGAGCCCATGTGCGTCAACAATGAAGACCGGAGCAACTGAGTAAGGAGGGTGTGGCATGCGCAGACCAGCAGAACGCATCGCGTGATAGGCCCGTTTAGATTTCAAGGCCTGCCATGCCTCTCACTTCTCCGATGCGGGGATGGAGATGTCACAGCAATGTGATGGATGGAGCGAATGTGTGACGTGCACAAGCAGACAGAATGCACCACAGGGTGGTGGGGGGGGGGGGGGCACAGCGGGCGAGTTAGCCCAGAGCCCTTTCTTTCTGATCGCCAACCCCGAGCTGTCAGTCCACATCGCTAGATCTAGCGCTAGAGAACCAAACCTGATTCGATTTTTGATCAAGTAAGACCTACCTAGAGGTCATGTTTAAACAAAACCATCATCAGGGGAGATAGCAAAAGGAAAAACAAAACCAAACTCATAGATTAGGCCTACTTTACAGTTTCCCTTGAATTTATTACTGAATCCCGTATAGCGAGAATCCTGCCATAATGGACATTTTGCTTCGGTCCCCTCCCTCTCGTTATAACAGGATTCCACTGTACCTACTTGTGGTGAAAGTACAAAAAAGAAGTACATGTAATGGAAAGCACAACACTGTTGCATCTCACTTGACAAGCATTGTCTAGTCTCTGCTGATAAATAAAGTATGTGGCTGGGAAGGGAGCCTAAGTGGGTGGTTGCCAGGTGCTCTGGTGTGGTTTGCTCCTTCTTTCCTATTAAAAGTCTATCTTCTCTATCTCCCCTCCTTTTTTGTGTGTGGTTTGCTTCTTCTTTCCTATTATTACTATTAAAAGTCTATCTTCTCTATCTCCCCTCCTTTTTTGTGTGTGGTTTGCTTCTTCTTTCCTATCATTTTATCAAACATCTATCGTCTTTATCTCTCCCTTTTTCTTTTTTATGTTTGATAGCCTACTCTCTTGTAACTGCTCTTATCTTCTGGCACTCATATGACCTTATGCAGTTGCAAGTGCCGTAAAACCTCAACTAAAACTTCTTTTTTGTGTTTGTTACTCTCTTGTAACACTTCTAATCTTCGGCACTCATGTGACCGTATTGTGCTGCAAGTGCCGTAAAACTCCTAAACTAAAGAAGCCTTGGGGTTGAAACTGTATTGACATTTCTTCAGTTCTGGGCAGGTGTGTGTACTCCAGCAGTGCTAAGGCTACATTTTTGTTGTGGGTGTTCTGTGCAGTTTGGCTCAAACTTTGAGTTGTGAGTGGTTGGCGGGTGTTCTAGTGTGGTTTGCTTCTTCTTTCCTTTCTAACATCTATCGTCTTTATCTCCCCTCTTTCTTTTTTGTGTTTGTTACTCTCTTGTAGCACTTCTAATCTTCGGCACTTATACTATACATATATGACCTTATTGTGTTGCAAGTGCCGTAAAACTCTTACAGTACATGTACTAAAACTTAACTTTGAGTGACATTAGAATTATTGATCTATAGCTTTTCCAGGCGAGGGTACATTCTTCTGTACTTTACTTCTGATTCAGTTGTTTCTGTCTTTTTTTTTTCTCAGCACTAATGGTCATTATGATTATTGGATTGTGTCAATGTGCTTTCTGTTTACTCAAACTAGACTAGGGTTCTAGGAACAGTGGAATTCGGATTCAACGAGATGAGATAGATTCCCGGGGGGGGGGGGGGGGTTCTTCTTTAAAATCCATAAAAATGACCTGGATTCAACGAGCACTTAATACAAATAAATCAGCGAGCTCGGATTCAATGAGGTCGCTTCCAGGGTGAATAGCCCCCGCAGACGTGGCTTCGCTCATTTTTCTCCCAGACTGAACTTAATCTATTCCCAGAAATCATCCATTGCACCTGCATCGTGAACCATTTTTCACTTAGCCGATTGCAATATTAATTGCATGCGACCAATCAGCGGCCTTCTTTCATACCAACACAAGCGTTGTTGGCACGTGCACGTGTCTACCCTGGCGTGTGTCGGGGTCAGGTCGGTGACCTGCACGCACACTGTGCGTGTAGGGGAGTGGGGGTGGGGAGGGCGCTAGCGTCCGGACGTTGAACGTCGCAGATACAAACGCGTCAGTCTTTTTTTCCCACGGCAACTGATCAACATTACAATGATATGCTATACCAAAGATAGTACATAACAAGATGGGCCACTTCTCTCTTTGAGCCAATTAAAAAAGTGTCCTCAAAATTTGGTGGCGCCCTCTTCGCGAACAGAGTTACCCTACTTGAGTTTTTTAAAATCAAAGTGAAACTAGCAAGTTTTGGGATAAATTTCAGAAGAACGCTTTTTTAAAAAGGTTACCCTGACAAAAAACCTCTTCCGGAGGAAAGGGTGATGGTTTTCTTCGTGTAATTTGACTTTAGAATGAAAGGCGAGAGGTCATTAAAATTTTAAAAACCCTAAAACTCCGCACTGAACGTACCCGAACTGCTGATGAACAGCAGTCGTTCTGCGCACGCAGGGAGGTGCTATTCCTATTCTTCTTCTGGAAAAACGAAAGAGAGCTTCAAAACAGACTGCAGCGCCATCTGAAGCAAAGAGCATACTTCCTGCGGACACTTTTTTGGCTGAGTGGCCCATCTTGTTATTTACTATCATTGGTTATACTTGACGTAGATCTACGTCATGAATTGTGCGCTGGTCTATGGAATCAAAAGTTGCCGTATGCTAGTACATGTATTGCTAGGCTCTTCTCAGCAACACAATTTTTTGGTGAACAATCGAGATGACACAGCCGTGTGCATTTGAATGAATCGGTCTTTTTTTTACTCAGCTCATAATAATAATATGCAGGCATTTCAGGCACTACTTGTGACTTCTCTTTATACATTGGGGCCTACTTGCTCAGTGCCTGTAATTATCTACACAAAACCTCGTGTTTGCTATTACGAACACTCGGATTCGACGAGATTTTAGGTTAGGCCCGGCGACCTCGTTGAATCCGAGTTCCACTGTAGGATCTTTTCTGCAAATGCTGGAGACATGATTTCAAAGGGACTGACTCCAGTAAAGTTTCTTTCCTTCATCAATTTATGGGCTCTGCTGAGACACTTTCAAGTGTAGCTTACTGCAGTACATTTGTGTACTGTACTCTAAATAATAGTCTTCGGACCGTGGGTGGTTGGTGGGTGCTCTGGTGTGGTTTGCTTCTTCTTTCCTATCAAACATCCATCGTCCTTATCTCCCCTTCTTCTTTTTCTATCTTTGTTAGTCTCTTGTAACACCTCTAATCTTCTGCCGCTCATATGACCTTAACTTGCCTTAAGCAGTTGCGAGTGCCGTAAAACCTTTACTAAACTAAAACTAAAAAGTCTTCGGATGCCAACATGCTCGTTTCTGTGCAGAAGGGAAAATCTGTCAGTGTCACTACAGTAGTCTCCGCCTAAACGCACGCCATACAAAAGCACGCTCCGCTCAAACGCACGCTTTCGTCGTCTGACGGATTTTTTACTATATAATTTAGACTACAAACGCACGGTCACTCCCTCTAAACGCACGCTCCGATCCGTGAAACACGCTGAGACATGTAAAGCTCGGCAATGGGAAATTTTCACGACAACCTGCACAGCCTGCATAAAACAAGCCTAGAATTTACTAGAAAACCGGATACTGGATGAGCGTGCCCCTCATGCCGAACGAAGAGAGTGACAGACAGCGTTTACACACCCTATTTTCCACTGACGCATAGGTCTTGGTCTAGTAGGGCTGGTCGGTTAAGTTGTTTGTTGTTGGGTTGTGGGTGTTGTTGTTGTTGTTGTTTTTTTTTGGGGGGGGGGGCT